ATTGTGCACTCATGATTTTTCTAGAGTAACTTTTGCTACTGAATTATCTATTAATCTAGTTTATAATAGCATTTTTGTCATAGATTTTGATTATATTTTTTTGTTTGTTATTTTTTCTTTATAATGAAGCTGTCTATATTTAGTAGAATGTGTGTAATATACAAAAGAGTGATGATCGACCTACACATTGAGGTATAGAAATTCTACACTCACACGGTTCTGAAAAAGTGGTATCGAGTCATCCCTAATTTTAAATGTCTTTAGTGTCACTTTTTTTTTTATCAATTTAATGCATCCTTCCTGAATAAAATAATTAAAAAATATATTATTTTAAATGCAATGCAATCTATTTATATTACCAGAGCTCAAATGTAAAGGTTTTTGTTTCTGTATGAATGTTTTTTTACTTGCCCTGATAACATTTTCATTGGACCCACCACAATTTTTTTTTATTACTGTATTTTTATATTTGCTATAAATAAATATTTTTCACTAAATGTTCAGTTTTCTGTATTCATTTTTGGGTAATACTCACCAGTGGTTCAGCCATGACCACCTCGATCTTCTTCTCGGCGAGTACAGCAAACTCTGCGAAAAGGCTCTTGATGACAAACTCCCCAGGCTTGAGCTCGGGGTCGATGGTGATGCTGGACATGGTGGCGGGGTGGATGCTACGCTTCTCCCAGCTGGCCAGGGCTGAGGGGGATGTTCCTCGCCTACTCACACTGCTGTTGCTTACAGGGACAGAGGCTGTCAAGAAAGAGAGACAGTTATGTAGCATTACAAAGCATTTTGAATGCACAATAAAAAGGTTATGAAGCGCTCAAGCAGAAATTAGCAGTGAAAAATCTAAAGACAAAATGTAAATCTACTGGTATTAAAAGACTAAGGAGTTATAGGTTAATTAAAGATTGAAAGTCGTGTGCATCACAATATGATCAGATCAAGTTGCTGATAATTACATTTTGAAGAGCTATCTCAAAAGAAAAAGCACACAAACTTCAAAATTTAAATTAATTTGAACCTATAGCAACCCAGAACTGATTTTTCACACTAAACCACATCCCTAGTATAATATATGCCACCCCTTAAACATCTTATTACAATTACCGCTGGACGTTGCTATGTTGGACCACTCAAAAAATTAAGCTGTGACTCTGCGGCACTATTAAAAAATAGTTTTAGACTTCAGACTTTAGACTCCTCTATGAATGGCTTACTTATAGTTGTCTCAGCACATTAAAAGTCAACATGCAGTCAAAAAAAGGCTATTTATTTTGCGAACACATTTCCTTAATTTGACTGACGGCTTCAGTATTTTAAAAAGGCCAAAAACCAACACAAACACTCATGTTGGGTTTTTGTGTTTTATGAGAACTGTCCATAGCCGTAATGATTTTTTACTAAAATATTTTATATTCTATCCCCTACCCCTAAACATAACCCATACAGAAATGCAAAAATTTTTCATCACTATTATTCTGATCAATACTGAGAACATGTTTATTTAACACACTTACTCATCAGCTTTGATAACATTGTGCATTTACTAAACTTACAAAAAAAAAAATGTCGTTTAAGCAGTGGATTTCATTGAATTTTAAATATAATTCAATTGAAAAAAAATATAAATAAATAAAATTAAATATAAACTAAAATAAATTTACAACACAAACATTTTACTAAAAAGAAAAAAGAAAAAATTTAATTTGATTTAATGCTCAGTCCTAAGTAGTCTGACATTCTAAAGCATTCAAATGCACTGACACCCTGTTTTTCTTGAGCACAGATAAAGACTGCATGTGTGGATTAAGGTACAACTCACATTTTTCAATCTAGACATGAATGCAGAAAGACTGGAAAAACTGTGTGTGTGTGTGTGTGTCAGATGTCAACTCCGCTCAGGAAATCCCTGCCCTTGTCTCCCACAGGTTGCTGGAGAAACCACGATGAGGCGAGAGAAGTTCAAACAATAATAGGAGGATGAATAAAAAAATCCCTGTGAAATTTAATGAGTTTTTCAGAGGAGACAGCAGGGTCACACCTAGTAACTACTACATCTCCCACAATAATAAAACAAAAACATTCACACACTCAGAGGATGAGAGAGAGGGACACATGCAAGACTCCGTCCCCAAAGCTGTTTGCGTGTTTGTTTGTCTATGTACAAACACTCACTTTGTTTCCTGTTTAGCAACACCTCCCAATCCCTATGATGTCACACTGCAAGCTTTCATTGGCCGGTAGTGTAACAGGGTCCCCAGGACCATGTCTGATTGGCCGAGGGGCCTGCTGACGGGCATTCTAACATTGTTTGTACTTTTCCACTCAGTGATGCAGAAAGGATGAGCAAAAGTAGCGAGGAGAAAAAATGCAAGTCTCTCTCTCTGTTCATCTTTCTCTTCATTCCTCTGGTGGATGTGCTGGATAATTTGTGACACACTGGGCTGCATTGCTGACCCCATAGCACACATTTGTGCCTCAGAGTGAGGCAGACTGTCACATGGAATGGAGTCACACACAGGGACCATTAATGCAGAGTCTGTTTGTTGTTCGCTAGGACATTCTGATACTCTGAGCTACACAAGACATGATTCCCTGAATGCATGTGAGCTCACACAGCTGAGCACTGTGTGCTTTAGCACTCCCACTTCCTGCAAATACTGTCAGAAATGCCATTCGGACAAGATTAGTGTCTAAAAGACTTTTGAGTCACACTTTATGGCATATCTTGTCATTTGTGATTAAAAATCTTTTTAGCATTTAAAATCAATTCAATCATAAATACTTAGGATGCAAATATGAATCAGTTCAATTGATTCACTGAAAAGAACCATCTCATATGAGCTACCTTTCCTCAATTTATTTATTACATGCCTTTAAGTGTCATTTGTGATTACTAGATTCTGATTTTTTTTATTATTTCTGACCAATTTAATTAATGAATCATTAAGATCGATTTTTGGTTAAAAACAAAATTGCATGATGAAATGGAATTTTTACTTGTTTCATGCCATGCAATAAAAATGATTAACTTTTTTGAATCTATACACTGCCAAAATTCTGACATTGTTGTATGATTTTAGTTGACAACATTAAGACCTCTGAGGTTGAGTAAGCTGAAATCACCATTTGCCGCATGACAAATCAAATCTGATACTTTGGTTTGATTTCATTGTACATGATATTGTTTTTGTAACGTCATGTGATAGATGAGTATTTGTTTCAGTATATTAAATTAGTTCATTTGTGAATAGATGGTTGTTAAAAGCAGGCGATCTTTGACTTTATCACTTATGTGAACTTTGTCGTTTTATCAATGCTGAAATTATTATTTGTTAACTTGTACTTACATGTTGAGATTAATCTCATGTTGACGCTGGTCTTTTGAAGCAATAACGTCACTTGTGTATTGCATGTAATTTAGGAATGCCTCAGAATCTTGCCTGATAAAGAAGAGAAGTTTCATTCCATTAACAGATCAACTGGGAAGGCAGACAGTCCAGAGAAAAGTGACTATAAAGATATAACTTTGTCCACTATTTTTGAATTATTTATTCAAAAACAATCATTCCATCTTCGTAAACAGCATCGTACAGATTCTTCAAAAAAAAAAAAAAAAGTCAAGTAATTTCAGATCAATGAATTTACATTAGATGGTATTTAAAGTCATTTGTGTTTACTAGACTGGGATTTTTCAAAATAATTTAATAATTTCTGACCAATTCAATTAATGCATTAAGACTGATTTTTGGTTCAACTGATTCTTTGCAAAAATAAATGGACTTTTAAGGGCAGTTTGCTCAAGATCAATATGTAGCCAACTAAATATTTTTGATCAAAACAAAATTTGAAAATGTCCATTTACATTACTCAATATTGTTTTTTTTTCCACAATTAAAATAGTTTCACAAATAATTTCCCTTTTTAAACATAGGATCTTGTGATTTCGCTAGCTGAAAAATAGTAGGTAACTTACTCCAAATTATTTAAAAAGAAAAACAGACAATTCGAAACTAAATTATTATGTCTCTGGGAGTCGTATGTCTGCAGTACTCAAATTTACCTAAACTCCTAAGGGAAACTAGTCCCATCCAAAGCTTTAATTGGGTAAGTGAGATGCAAACAGAGTCACACACACGCACACACACACACAAACGCTATGATTTCCAGGACAGAGACATGTGGATGCGGTCTGTCCAACAGAGAGCAGGCCGATCACACACAGAGATCGAATAACCTCAATGACATCATCATCTACATTATACTCAGCTAGCTGAAGCCCGACACAGACAGAGGTGATCACTGCTCTAAATCACAGCAGTGTGTGATGACGTGCTTGACGTAGTTTAGGTACCAAAGACCGCGCTCAGGAATGAAAAGTTGATCGGCTCGTAAAAGTTCATCAAGTGAGGACAGAACAACTTGCATGCCACATACACACAAGACTGTTATACATCATTTTTTGCTCCAAATTGCGAAAATAAAATTCTCGAAGTGACTATACAGTATTCTGCACTCCACCAAACCAAATCAATCAAAAATACAAGAAACAAGTATGCAAACACAGGAAAATAAATGCTCGTATGATGCATTGCGCCATACATATTTAACATGCATTATTGCGCTAATGTGGCCATAATCAAACCTGAACACTCAGCAGGGCACAAGAGATGCTATTAAACCAGAGGTGTTATGATTCAGGTATTTAGCTAAAAACAGGTAAATAAACTCTAGCAAACATGCTTAGGCAGTCGGCAAAACTGCTAAGTCACCTTTTTAAGATCACCGACATTTTAATACAATTGTCGCTTTTGTTGGTGATTGTGAAAGCAGCCATTACAGTCCACTTATTAACCATAGTAAAATTAACAAATAAATAATGTATTAATATATCCACACAAAAACAATCTGAAAGAACAAGATAGTACATTTTCTAGGACTAATCACCGTGAATAATTATGTAATAATTATAAAATAATTATTCTGGATGTAATTATTCATAACCGCCCAAACTACTCTCCACTGGAAATTAATGACTTCCTATAAAGTACTGGGCCCCTTGAGGAAATGCTGAAAATACAGTTCTGACACTTTCCTTTTGCAAAAAAATGCAGCCATTTCAACCAAAACGTTCTCTGAATTCTCTGTGGTGGGCTTACACCTGCTTTATGCATAATGGAGTTTAAAGGAGTTATGTTTGTGTGCTTGAAAGAGGGAAAGATAAATCTGCTATGGTTCTAATAAAGTGTCAACATTATTTCTGCATTGTCTCAACATGCCCAGATTTCACCGATCTCTCTGATCAAGTCTCTCTGCAGACCTACAGATAGTTTCAACAGAATTCATCTGCAGCTTTCTCGGTTATGTAGCTCTTATTTGGAGACATAAAGTTATGTCTTTGGCCTGACTTCTAAGCAGAGACAGGCAATGGGAAGAGTGGAAGAGTCCACTGGTTCAGTTGGATGTCACCAGCTCTTGAAACTAGGTCTCGCTCCTCATTGTTTGAACAGAGAGGCCCAACGCACGGGAATTGGCACCAACACACAAGACTGGAGGGAGTGAAAGCGAGAGACTTACTGTTGCATGCCAACTCCAAGTGACATTTCTCCAACGGTGCTGGACGTTACTAGTTGTTGATGTACTTAACCCAAGTCAACAGTGACTATGAGCTGTGAAGTGAAAACATCTCACCAAATATGATAAACCCAAAAAACAGTGGATGTTAATGCTAATGGAAAGCACAACCA